AACCACTATTTTATCTAGAAAAGTGAATAAAAAAAGCATGCAATTCGGCCATTATTTTTTATATTTTTTGTAAAAAAAAAGTTATAGTTCGACCATTATTCTGTTAGGTTGAATATAGTTTAATTTTATTATACGCATTTCGACCATCATTCTGCAGGATCGAATCAGAGTCGAATATAGATTGAATTGTATATCATTACTAATTTAGGTCGATTTTTTTTAAAATTGGCCGAATTTAGGCTGAATTTTTTAGAGGTCGAATATTCCTATTTCGACTAGTGTTTAGAAAAAATCTAATTCCCGCGTCCTTTTTTTTTAAATAAATATGAAAAAAAAAGAATTTTCTCCTCCTACCCAAAAGAATCTTTGTTTTATCAAAAAAAAAAAAAAAAAAAATTTTCAAAAAAAAAAAGTTCATACTCTTCCTTTTTAAAATAACGTGTCTTAATTTTAATATGCCTGATAACATTGATAGTAACACTACTATTATCGACAATAATAATGAAGTTAGTTATGATTTTGAAATAATTGATAAACCGAACATGATTTGAGATATATTAAGTATATCCGTTAATCAATCTATCACAATAAAGAATAATTCTAGTACAATTCATACGTTAACTACAATACTCCAAGGTAAGTTACTAACACTACGTTTTTTTGGGTATTTGATGCTGTATATGGCTCTATCAGGTTACTGATACTATTGATACTGACTAACAATATTAGAACGACTTACCGCTGCTTCATCTACTATCTCTTCTCCTATTGTATCTACTTTTCCTGCTATTGTCTCTCCTTCTCCTCCGGTCTCAACATAGTACGGATCCTTGTCAGATTCAATTTCATCTTTAAGCTCTTCGCTATCCTTAGACTTTTCAGTAATCTCATCAATAACTCCCTTAACGACTTTAATTTTATCAATTTCCTTGAACCCGCCAATTTTCTCAAACCCGCAAATTTCCTCAAATCCACAATGATCAGTGATATTTTTGGCCCGTCTACTATACTTGTCGAAGGACTGATTAAGATGTGTAACAAGTGTCTGGAGTTTATGGATAAAAAAGAAAATCGTAATTTTCAGGTTGCTTACCGGATTGAATTACTCCCGAATAATAACCAAAAAGAATGGGAATATGCCATACAGTTGGACCCTGTTATATGGTTTGATATGTTATATAATTTGTCCGGTGACTTGCCGAATACACTAAAGGCTGCAAGAAGTTATGTAAATAGTGTTCGGAGAAAATACAAACTGCCAGCTCCTATTGAGCCTACTATGAATTCCATACCTTCTAAAATTTATTGCAGACATCATGCAGATTGTAAGTATCCTCCTCCACCTGAGAGTAATAAAAAAAATGTCTGGAAAGCCCCTCTCTTAAAGGTGAGAATTTGAAGTGTATTCATAATATGAGTCCTAAACGTATTATACATGACTATCCCAAATTTTTATTAGAGCGTCCTAGTAAGAACCACAACTCGAATCATGAAGAGCCTCCTGTTTTTTGTGCTGGAATGACTCCACAGCAAGTTCGTTTCCCTCGGTATTGTAACTGGTACATGGAGAAAGAACGTATAGTCATTGGAGAAGATGGGAAAGATGGTTGGATATGTGTGTCCCAACAGGATGATGTACGTGAAATTCTAATATGTTCTCATCCCAGGACATACAATACATATGACAAGAATACTAGACCAAACAATAATAAAACGAACAAGCATTTAGTTATCGATAGGAATTTATGGATTTGGGTGCTGGGATACTTCATGTCTACATATTTGGTAGAAAATATCTGTAAGCAACAGATCAAAAATCCTGTTAAACTTTTTGCGTTCAACTTTGGGAAATGGGAATCTCTAGAATCTAAAGACTATCAAGCAAAAGAGTGCCATGGTCATTTACACGTTCATATAAAACCGGAGGTGGTTATAGCATTCGAAACTGCTGGAACTGATGCCATGTATGGAAAAATAGGGCAGCCTAAGCAGTATGGCATACAAAATTGTATAGAATTAGAAACGTATCGTCTATTAAGCTCAGAAATGGGACAAGTTATAGAAGAGATTAGTGGATTTAGATCAGAAACTAACGAGCTTAAAACAGAAATTAATGGGATGAATCAAAAGCTAAATGAGATATTGAAACTTATTCAAAAAAGATAGTGCACTGCCATCAATAAATTATCAATTATATGACGCATTTTATTATATCAATAGGACCCGCTTACTTCTAATAAAGGTCTCCGGGCAAAATTTCAGATTTACTAGTAATTTTACCAACCTTTCTTATCTCATAATTTTACCATATATATATAGTGACCTTTTAAAATTATATTAAATTTTACCTTAGATTTTCAGAGACCTAAATTTTTTTAAATATTACTAAATAAACAAAATATTTTATAATCATTACAATAAATTTTAAAAATTTTTTATTTTTACTAAGTTTAATTCTTATTCTTTAAAGATAAATAACTTTTATTAGTAAAAAAAGTACTTTGAATTACAAAAATACTATAAAAAAAATCTTAAAGACACACATCTTTAACTTTACTTCGAAACTATTATTCACTTACTTTCTTTAAAAAAATCTAATTAATTTTTTTTTAAAAAAAATAAATTCGTAATTGGTATTATTATGAAAAAATGCTCGTACCCCATAAGTATTAATCCAACTGCTATGAAAATATTTATCTAAATATTTTCGACCTTGCCGAACAACTTTACTTAAGCATGAAAAAGTGATTTCATTTGACCAAAGTGCCCAAATTACGCCCTATAATCACTGATCGGGAAAATAAAAAAAAATTAAAAGTGCGAAAATTGCTCGTATTCCGTAAATATTAAACTGATTCTTATGAAAATTAATATTCAGGTAGTTTCGATCTCGCCGAACAATATTACTTCAGCTTAAAAAGGTGATTTCATTTGACTAAAATGCCCAAATTACGCTCCGAATTTAATAAACAAAAAACGTAAATTTTAAGTTAATATTAAAATAAAAAAATGCTCGTATGCAATAAATATTACTCCAACTGCTATAAAAATTCAAATATAAGTAGTTCGACCTTACTAAACAACTTTCTTAGATAGTAAAATATGATTTGATTTAACCAAAGTACTGAAATTAAATTCTGAAGTTGCTAATTGCTGTACGAATTTTTATATTTTAAAAGCTAATTTTTGTAATAATTTTCAAAAAGATAGTGCTAATGCAAATAAAATTAAAAATATAAAATGGTTTTTACAAGTATAAAGAAGAGAATAAATTTTTTATTTTGAGAAAAAATTATAAAACGTATATTACCAAATATTGTAATAATTGTTGTACAATATTTCAAATTAGTATATATAAGGTAAATATTAAATTTTATATACAATTTTACCTTATTATTTACCGAAACATTTGTAAACTTATATTTGATTTTACCTTATAAAACCGGAAACCTATTTTAACTTTACCTTACATATCCGGAGACCTTTATTTGTCATATATATAATTTTACCTTTATCTATTAAGAGACCTAAAATTTTTTTTTAATATAAATTTTACCTTATATTTTCGGAGACCTCTATTAGAAGTAAGCGGGGTCCTATATCAATCAATAACTGATGTAACGATATTTGTTATTCTTAATTAACAAAGAATTGAATAAATTTTTATTCGTCTACTATTAACTGTTAAAACTCTCACTATATCATGTTCATTACATGGAGGTTTGCATTTACATTTTTTTCATATGTTCATTCACTAGTTCTAGTGCATATGAGGGTCATGATGTTGACAAACTCTTCAAATTCCCAACGGAAATGCCAAAAAATGTGGAGCGGAAGAATGTTTAATGAATGGCGGACATTTATGCAAATTAGTTATGTACAAGTTTACTCGTGGTCAAGTTAGATGGTATTGGAATAGTAAAGAATCTGTTAATAAAAAATGTTTATTTGAAAAAAATATCATTACAGCATTTAATAAATATAACATTATGATCGAAATTGAGCTTACTTGTCGTCTTTATCGTGAAATAGAGGAAAATCCTGAGTCATTTACCATTAAGGTCCCCATAATCGCAAATATTAATTATCTCAGAACGATTATTTTCAAAGAGATCGAGAGAAGAATTAATGATGTCATTTATATCGAGCACGATCACTTGGAGCTATAGAAGGTAAAAAAGGTAAAAATTGATGTTCTGAAAAAGCTCGAGGTAACAAAACTTGTTAGCAAGCACTAGGAAGAACAACCTGGAAGAAAGCACTTTCACGTTATTGTATGTTCTAAATTAATAATCAAAGACCGGAAGAACCGACGATTGAAAAAACTTGTCGAAAAAATTGAAAAGCTTACTGACCTTAGTCTTAGTGATGGAAGTAAGTATTGAAATCCCCGTTATGTTTATTTACTTGCATGTACCCTTTGAATAATACTAACAGCTAACACGGGCTCTTATGTTTAGATATTTCTGCGGAGGTTATCACGAATCATTAGTGTTCCGAAAAAAATCCGATCCGATTCGTATCCGCAGATCTGATCTGAAACGGATCGGATCGGATCAGCTTTTTTATGATCCGTGATCTGATCCAAATCAAAAAAATTTGATCCGTTTCAGATCGAATCAGATCAGATCAGTTATTCATTCAAATCGGATCAGATCGAATCAGATTCGAACGGATTCGGATCAGATCCGGATCGGATCTGAATCTTAGAAAATAAAAAACGTTTTGCGCAACGTTTTTTATTAAGACAATTAAAAACCGTTGTGAAATGGTTCTTTTTGTTAAATAAACCGTTTCACAACGGTTTTTATTAAAATAATTTAAAAAACCGTTGCGAAACGGTTCTTTTTAGTTAAATAAACCGTTTCACAACGGTTCTTTTTAGTTAAATAAACCATTTCGCAACGGTTCTTTTTAGTTAAATAAACC